ACAAACAAACAAACAAAAGAATTATTAAGGAGCAAATACAACACTTTAAAGACTAAGTTGTGCTGACCCAAACCATGGTATTTTCAATTGCCTCATATACATGTGAAAGCTGGACAATGAATAAACAAGACCCAAGGAGAGTTGATGCCTTTGAATTGTGGTGTTAGCTAAGAATACTGAAAATACCATGGACTGCCTGAAGAACAAACATATCTGTCCTGGAAGTAGTACAGCCAGAATTCTCCTTAGAAGCAAGAATGCCCAGACTTCGTTTCACCCACTTTGGTCATGTTGTCAGAAGAGACCAGTCCCTGGAGAAGGATGTCATGCTTGGTAAAGTAGGGGTCAGCAAGAAAAGGGAAGACACTCAATGAAATGGACACAGTGACTCTTACAATGGTCTTAAGCACAGCAAAGGTTTTGATGATGATAAAGTGTTTCGTTCTGTTGTACATAGGGGTCACTATGAGTCGGAGTTGACTAGATGGCACATAACAACAACAACAATTCTTTTTTATTTTTTAAAATTTTTATTGTGATTTGGATGAAAGTCTACAGAGCAAATTCATTTCCCATACAGCAGTTCATATACATTTTGTTTCATGACATTGACTGCAATTTCCCACAATGTTAACAGCTCTCTTCTCACTTCCTCCCCATAGTTACCTTTTCCCTGTGTCCTTACACTGCCCTTCTGTTCTCCCATGATGATCTCTGCAAGGAGTGTATCTACCTAATGTAAATGTTCAGCCCATATGCCTGTCTTTTATTTGGCTGGAAGCCACAGGAGTTCGTTCAATTCCAGACCTGAAGGGCAGCTAGGGGCCACAATCTTAGGGGTTTCACCAGGCTCTATCAGACCAGCAAACCTGTTTTTTTTTTTTTTTAGTTTTGTTCCACATTGTTCTCCCATGGATCTGCTACACAGAACAACAACAATTCCTGACAAATTTACTTGGAGTATGTTTATTCTAGAAAAAAAGGTAAAATCTTTCCTTTGTACCAGAATATCTGTCCTGTCCTTTCACTTTGGGAAGTACTGTAACTCAGTAGGACTTGGGTGGGGCTGGCTTTTGTGAACTGGCCGGGGCACCACACCCATGGGGTGAGCAGGGCTCTTATGAGATAGTTCTCTCTAGGTTCCTAATAGCTGGCTTTCAAAGTGGACCCCAAACAGCCTTTAGGAACCCAGCTGCTCCTGGGCAGTGGTGGGGTTGGGGTGTCATATAAGTGCAGGGGGCGGTCACCTTTAGTGTGCTCCAGCCCAAATTTCCCTTCTGTAACACTGCATCTTCTAATTCTGTAGAAACAGATGAGAGTGCCCTTGTTTCATCTTCCAACCTCAAAATGAGAAGGCCACTCATGGGTGGACCAAAGGGAAGAACCTGGGTAGGAAGGATGGCTGGGGAAGGATGCTACAGAGAAAATCTTTACCTCAGTGGGGTCGTTCAGCTTCCCCATCACCACAGCTGGCACAGAGAAGGGTGTTGACGCCCCTCAGGTGTGAATCTCAGCTATTTTCATGTGACATTTTTTATTATCTAAGTAGATCTCTTGGGGGTGACATGCTCCAGAGAGCAGTCAAAAGGTAAAAGATGACATTTATAAAAATCCATTCTTTCCTTTCCACTTTACTGCCTCTATTGACTGTTTTCCTGTTCAATCAAATTCTATTCACAGCAGTACAGCCCATTTCGGGAACTGCCAACACGATAAATATCCTGTCCTTTATTCACTGTGCTTGCCACCTCCATACCCTTTGTCCCCTTCCCATCTTAGAAGGCCTGGGGTCCTCTTTGTTTGCATCTCTCACATCTAGAAACCCTTGATTCGGTTCCCAGCACACGGGAGGAGCCAATTGCTTTTCCCCTTCATCCTGCTTTATCCCGTCCCCATAATGCTTCCTGATCCCAAAGACACCAGGCCAGGCACCCACTCTGCCTCCTCTATAAGTTTAGCTGTCTTGTATCTAGCTGGGAGTTGTGGCCAGGTCCACTCCACTCTCAAGATATAACCTTTTTCCTTTTCCTGTGTGTCTGGCACCAACCTTCTGAGGGATCGTAGTTGGGTAACCCAGGTTTCCTTAAAGAGTAGGGGAGAGATAGCACAGAACACCCAGAGCGGTAGAAATGGGACAGAGATCCAGGCCCTCAGATTCCCACTCTATTGCCTGCCCTACTGCTTTGACTTTGGCTTTGTTTCCTATTCATTTCCTCATTCTTCTTAATAAAGCACTTCATGAACAAATTCTGTGTATGACACCATGCTAGAATGAACACATAGAAGGGACATCAGGGCCTGACTACATAGAGTCGGTGCCTTTGTTAACTGGCTACACTTTCTCTGTTTTCAGTATCAATGCATCTCTTGCTGAGTCAATACATTCAGCTTCACCCCGAGCAGATCTAGAGAATATTTGTTTTTGGGTAATTCACGTTTATTCCATTCCTTCAACAGTAATCACTGGGCATTGGATTGATAGCAAGTAGTCCAACGGATTCAATAATGCATTTGGCCTGAGCTGGTGGAGTTTGTAAGCTAGGCCACTGCCCAGAAATGATCCTATAGAGCCAAATCAATACCTGAATGCTTTTCCTTGAAGTGTATCCTCCCCACTGTTCCTTCTCTTTATTCATTGTCTCTATTATCATCACTACCATTTATTGCATGCCAAGCACTATATTTGATCCCATTTAGGTTTTTTCTTACTGGATCCTTACTGTAATCCTGGGAGGTTGGTTCTCTCAGTATCCTCATTTGAGACCCAGGGACATTGAGGCCCAGGGAGTTTAAACACTTGCCCAAGGCCACACATCTGGTAGGAGGCAGCCTCAGACTAAAACTCAGTCTGTCTGATCCATGGGGTACTGAGGCTCCAGTGCAACGTGGGGCTGTGGGGCAGAGCCAGGTACCCCTCAGGGGAGTTTCTCGGCACCAATCTAGGCACCTGTTCTCTGTGGATACATGAACCATATCAGCCTCAGAGAGTAACAGCTTCTGTTGGTCAGCACCTCCAAGGTCTCTCATTTCCAGGTAGTTGAGGAAGCCCAGCCTATGGTTCTGAGCTGAGTGGCTCAGGGTTCACTGCACTCTGTCTGGGTTCATAGAGACACGTATCTTTCTCGGATGGTTGATTTCTTCTGAAGAAGAGTAAGGTGAGGTTGTGCCACAAGGGGGGATTGCTCAGAGAGCCTGCCTGGCTGAGGCTCAGAGCCATTTCCTCTGGCTGGAAAACTTCAATTCCAGGCCACTCAGGGATTCCTTGGGACAAGTGTCAGGAAGTGCTTAGTCCTGTTGGTCCCAGTTACTGTGCTTGTGGCTGGAGACCTGGCTCTTCTTCTTAACTTTCCAGCTCTTAAGATTCTGAGCTGGGGCTTAATGAAGACAGGGAGTAGTTCTGGGCCTGGATGGGCCTGGGAAAGAATCTAGACTGAAAACACTTCTGTGTTTCAAGCACTTTATATAAACTACCTCATTTATTCATGACAGTATTTGTGAATGAGATGGGAAATAGTATTCTCATTTTACAGATGAGATCCCAGAGGCATAGATAAATCAGGTGACTTGGCTTAAGGTCATCAGCTACTAAATGCCTGGGCCAAGATGTAAATTCAAGTCTGCCAGACTCTCCCACTATGCCACTGCTCAGTGCTGCTTATGACCACATAGGAAATCACCTGGCATCTACCATAGAAAGGAGGTGGTTTGGATCTTCATGGAGATGGGCTCAGGGAGATCCATCACCACCTTCATGGCAGAGGCTGCATCATTGTGCTGCTCTCTCTGCTTAGCCAGCGGGAGCCCTGCAGCACATACTTCTGGCCCCAAGATAACTGACCTGACAGTGCCTTGCCTCACAAATCACATCACATATCTCTTGCCTCCTGGCCTGAGAGCTCCTGTTGCTGCTGAAGCCCATGATACCAAAGACCTCACTTGATGCCCATGCACAGGGACTACCTTGCCAAGTCTGGCACAAAGAGCTGCTGACCTGCACACACTCACAGATTTACGTCTTGGGCGGTATGAATACAGCTAATCCAGGGGCTGCCCCAGAAGTATGCATGAGTGAGCTAATGTCCTGTAGTGTGAATTTGAGTAATGGGAGGCAGAAGATGGGAAAGATCTGGCAGATAAATTCTCCTCTCATGGCAGATAAATTTCTCCCCCTAATAGGTTATTCTGAGATGTGGTGTTTCTATATGCTTTCCCCAGAGAAGTCTCTAATATCCCAGGTGTGTATTCTGGTAAACTGTGGCCAGGCCAGTAACATACTTTGTATTGTTTTCTTTTCTCCCATGATTCACATTCTTTTTTCTCTCACTTTTAGTTGCTGGAGATTGCAACACTCTCACTCCAATAAAGTTTTTGTGCACAAATTTTGCTGATGGCCCTCTTTTCCAGAGAATACATACTAAGACAATAATAATAGTAATCATAGTATTTCCTTCCATTTATTGAAAGGAGCTCTGGTAGCATAGTGGCTGAAGCACTTGACTGCTAACCAGAAGGCTGGTGGTTCAAACCCACCAGCCACTCCTTGGAAGGAAGGTTGGGCAATCCTACTTCTGTAGTGATACTGCCTTGGAAACCCAAAGAGGGGTCGCTATGAGTCAGGGCTGACTCGACGGCACATAACAACAACAACAATTGAAAGTTTACCATAAGGCAGGTATATCATCTATTTGAATTCTTATGTTATCCTTATGAAGTAGGCACTATTATTATCCCCATTTTAAAGATGAGGAAACTAAGGCTCAGAGTTAAGAAACTTTGTTATGGAGATAAGGAACATGCTCATGTTCACACAGCATGTAAGTAGCAAAATGAGGATTTAAGCCAACTCTTCTGTTCTTCCAAATCCAAACTCTAGACCACCTTGAATAAAGTTGCCTGTAATGTTGAGAAATATCAAGGAAATCTGAGTCTTCATGAAGCAAGACTCCCAGGGAGTTCAAGAAACCCAGATAAATCCTTGGGGAGGGCCCTGGGATACTCACGTTGTGAATGCTGGGTTGTACTTTGCACCTCGGTAGTAGGAGTATAGGTTGAACATCCCGATCATGAAGGCCACAAATACCATGATGAAAATGACCATGAACTTGAAGATATCTTTCACGGTTCTCCCCAAGGAGATCTGCAGGGGTCCAAAACTCTCATTGGCTGGCAGGATGTACGCAATGCGAGAGAAGCTCAGCACAACGGCTATTGCGTACAGTCCTTCTGATATGATCTGAGGGTCTGAAGGCCACCACTTGTCCCTGGCTGAAAGAAAACAATCTGAGTTACTCACCGGGGGTAGAATCTGCTCTGGAAGAGAAGCCCATTCTAACCTTATTGCTTGCCATCCCTCCCCTTACCCTTAAGTTAATCCAAATACCCTGAAGGTGCCACTCTTTCTTGGTACATGCTGGCCCATCTACCAGGAGCACCCTTCTTTCATGTCAACTGCTTCATTCCTGATCATCCTTTAATATTACTCAGGTGTCACCTCTGTCAGGAAGCCTTCTGTGCAAATTCACAGAAGGCTGGGGCAGGTTCCCCATTCTTCTCTGTGTTCCCACAGCTTCCATCGAACTTAACACACTGCTTGCTACTCTGTCCTCCTTACCAGTGATTGACCTCCACAAGCAGATACTGTCCCATTCACTGGGGAAAACGCATGAGGAGGTGGTGGGGAAGAGCACGGATTTGGAGTCACAGACCTGAGATTGAAGGTGGCATTTCCATTCACTGACTGTATGACTATGAGCAAGTCAGCCAACCTTTTTGAGCCCTCTTTTCCTCATTTATAAATTGGGGATAATATCATCAACCTCACAGGGCTACGGTGAGGTTTAAATGAAATAATATATGCAAGTGCTTAATATAGGGTGTGTGTATAGTAGGTGCTGACAGATGTTTGTTAAATGATTGAATGCAATCTTAACTACAAATTCAGAGACTAGGCCCAGATCAGAACAAGTGAGTTCACACGGGGACCAGGAAACTGAAGGATGTTGGCTGAGAAAATGCTCTTGGGGCTTGTTCCCCAGCCTGCATATGTCTAGGAAAGTTGCTCGCTACTGAGCTAAGGCCCCCAAAGTGGTACTCAGTCAGCCAGGTTTTTCAGGACAACCTTGTTCTAAGTGAGCAAAAGTCCTGGTATTGTCCTGGACTAGGGAGATTCTGCTTGTAGTCAGCAATGAGGGCCTGAGTTGCTCTGGGTATATTCCTACAGCAAAGCAAACCCACAGAATGTTCTTATTGCAGTTCTAATGGTACAAGTAGCAGCATCTATTATTAATCAACTGTCTACTCTGTGTTAAGACAGACAGTGATTCTTAACTAAGGTCTGTTCCCGCCCCCCCCTTGTGGGAGAAGTGTATGTGGGTATCCATGGTTGTCACAGTGAATGGGTAGGGATACTAATGGGATGCTAATGTCCTGCAATGCTCCAGATAGACCCACACCATGAAAATTGCCTTGCTGAAAAAAACCAGTAGTGTCCCCATTGAGAAATGCTGAGTGAAACTTAAACCAAGAAACATTGAGAAACCTAAATTAGTCCTTACATTTACATTAGCTATAATTTTCACAATAGTTCTGTAGAGTAGATATTATTATTGCCATTTTTAAAGATTGGATTTGGGATATGGGGTCCATTTCAGAACTTGGTAAGTATAGATAACAGGGATATTACATAGCAAATCTTGGCACATCAAGGGAGATGTATGAGGAAGAATTTTCTTCTTTATTTTTAAAGTTAGGCTCTGTTAAATAATTACAATGATAAAGAATAGTAAGAAACAATTAGCAAGGGAAGCTAGGCCTCTATTTTCCACAAAGTTTCACAGTGGATTCTAAATTGCATTTGGAAATATAATACAATTTTAGACTCTATGCTGGTCTCATCAAGCTCATAACTCAGAAATACATGAAAGACAAGTGAGGAGAACAAATTATGTGTTTTTCAACGTATCTGTCACCCTCTATGGATAAATGACACATTCAGATAACATGAAATAGAACTTCGATTCTTCAAACAGATACCAAAAGAGAATTTATTTTTTCATCCCCCTGTAATTTACCACCTTAAACCTCAGCTGTAATAACAAAAGCCATTCTGATAATCTATTAAGGCAGATTTAGCTGTCATCAGGCCCTGGTGACCAGGTCAGATCCTTTGGGGAAAAATATTCTACTTGGATGGGCTTGTCATAGTTGTGATGAGTACAAAGCAGTGTGATGATTCGGACAAAAGGATTTTCTTCTTGGGCTTGTTCCCATGAGAAAAATCCCCCTTTCATCAACGTTAAAAATTGGCATCTGTGCACTTGGTGGTGTAGAGATTGGAAGGAACCACTGGCTGGCCACAAGAGGGCACTCTTTGCCTGTAACTGGAGCATAAGCTAACACCCTGATACATTCAAAAGATTTCCAAGGGCAAAGTATGAACTAAAAGCAAGGGCAATTATGTGCTTTGTTTTGCATTGGGTTAGACTTTAATAACATCCATAAGAGGAAGAGAAGATTCCAATGGACAATACTGCAGCCTAAATCATGTCATTAAGAACAGTATGCAATGCAGTATCAAGATGCTCTCAGCTTTCCCTGAGCAGCAAGAGGGAAAACTATATAAGTCCATTTTGTTTTAAGTATGTCTGAATTTGCTTAACTAACAAATGAGAGAGTAATGATTTGTAATACTACAGGATTCCTCATTTCTCAATGGGGGTTTCCTTACCATGTACACATAACACAATTTGTGTCATACAATTTTGACCTACTAAATTTCTGCATATCACTGCTATACCTGACCATAAAGATTTTGTGGTCACAGGAGACATCTAGTTTCTTCTAACAAAGATATTTGATATACAAACTTATGATATAGCAGCTCCCATTAAGAAGCACATCCCCAAAACCAAAACCCACTGCCATGAAATCAACTCCTTAAACCTATATGACCTGCCCCATAGAGTTTCCAAGGCTATAAATCTTTATGTAAGCAGACCAACTCATCTTTCTCCTGTGGAGTGGCTAGTGGGTTTGAACCACTGACCTTTTGGTTAGCAGCTCAATGCTTTAACCACAGCACTACCAGAGTTCCTTAAGAAGCACATTAATGAGTGCTCATTAAGTGTCCAGCTACTATTTATTGCTATTATTACTATTTACCTACTGTACCTTTTCCCCTTAATCTTTCTTTCTCAGTACAGAAAGTACAGTGTTTGAGGAAGGAAGTGACCTAAAATGCAGTAATGTTAATAAATGTTACCATTTAATGAGCACTTAATATTTTCAGAGCACAGTGCAATAAGATATGCACTATCTTATTTAATTCTTGGGAGCTCTGGTAGCATAGTGCCTAAGGCACTTGACTGCTAACCAGAAGGCTGGCAGTTCAAACCCACCAGCCACTCTTCAGAAGGAAGATGGCGCAATCTACTTCAGTAGTGATACTGCCTCAGAAACCCAAGGAGGGGTCGCTATGAGTCGGGCGACTCGACGGCACATAACAACAACAACAGCATTTAATTCTCACAACACACCTTCTGACTTAGGTATTGTTGTTACGTGCTGTTAAGTTGGGTTTCAACTCATAGCAAATCTATGAAGGAAACATGGCTCAGTTTTGCACCATCCTCATAATCACTGCTGTACTTGAGCCTATTGTCACAGCCACTGTGTCAATCCATCTCATTGAGGGTCTTCTCCTTTTTCTATAACCTTCTGCTTTACCAACCATGATCTCTTTCTCCAGAGACTGGCTCCTTCTGACAACATGACCAGAGTATGACAGACTAAGTCTGGCCATTCTCACCTCTCAGCAGCTTCCAACTGTACTTCCTCCAAAACAGATTTGTTTGCTCTTCTACCAGTTCTTGGTACATTCAATAACAGATATTACCATCAATATTTTATGGACACAAAAATAGAGGATCAGAAAATTAAGTAAACAATGTCTCACATTAAGTTACAGAACTAGTATTTAAATAAAAGTCTCTCTAACCCCAAAGCCTATGGATATAACACCTATACCATTCTGATGAATTTTATTCATGTTGGGTCAGGATCCACTAATATCCAAGGAAATCCCTCTCTGGGATCACTAGGAGCTCTGCCATGAAAACATCAGTTTCTTCATCTACAAAATAGGGACAACAAAAACCCTTTTTGCAGGGCCATTGCAAGGACTGGATGTGTGTAAAACGTCTACACAGTTCCTGGCAGATAGTAGGTCCTCAATAAATAGATGTTCTAAATATTAAAGGATCCCTGATGGTGCTATGGTTAAGTGCTCAGCTGCTAACCAAAAGGTTGATGGTTATAACTCACCAATCATTCCACGAGGGAAAGATGTAACAGTTTCCTTCCATAAAGATTTAAAGCCTTGTAGGGCAGTTCTACTCTGTCTTAATAGTGTTGCTATGAATTGGAATTGACTCTACGGGTAAGGGGATGTGAGGGACTATATTAAAGCTCCCTGAGTGGCACAAGCAGTTTGCAATTGACTGCTAACCAAAGGTTTGTGGTCTGAACCCATCCAACAATAGCCACAGAAGAAAAGCCTGGTGATCTTCTGTAAAGACTACAGCGAAGAAAACCAATACTTGACCTCTGTAACAAACGGGGTGGCCATGAGTCAGAATCAACTTTTTGGTAAGCTTTCATTTTTAAAAAATAACTATCATTATTATTACTAAAGTTTTGATCTGCTACCTCAAATGTATGGCCTTGTGGTTTGAAAGAATTAAGATATCTTCTAAGAAATTATCTTGCCACAAGAAAAGAACTTTTGAACTGGGAAACTGAATTTCTCTTTGCACAAAACACAGGGAACCAATACAAAAAAGAAAATCCCCTTCCTGCTCCTGGATACACATTAGAAATAAGATACATATGTGTGTGTGTGTGTATGTATGAATGTATTTGTGTAGATGTTTGTGTGCGTGTGTGTGCGTGTGTGTACTGCCTTGGTGGTGCGGTGGTTAAGCATTTAGCTGCTAAGTGAAAGGTTGGTGGTTCCAATCCACCAGCTGCTCCATACGGGAATGATGTGGCAGTCTGTTACTACAAAGATTACAGCCTTGGAAACCCTATGGGACAGTTCTACTCTACCCTACAGGGTCTCTAAGGATAGGGATTCACTCCACAGCAATGAATTTTTTTTGAATATATATAATATATATCTTAAAAATGTCCTCAAGAGCCTTTCCAAAATGTATCCTTGCTAGCACAAAAGGATTCATTTCTCATAGTCACTAATCCCTGTTCTATTCAGCTGGTTGTACTGCAGCTAGACCAGGACTTCTGTGGAGTGTCCCTATTAGTAGTTGAAATAACGAACCTTTGGACGAACTGGCACAGTCAGTGAATACCCACAGCATGTCTGGAAGCATAATGATCCAGCGTGGGACAGGGTACCATCCAACTCACCGTAGGTGAAGTATGCCACTTCCGGAGGAAGTGAGACGTTGTGTAGCGTGTCGTCCTGCACGTACTGGTCCACGTACAGCTGCGCTTCGCTGGCCTTCAGGAAGGCCATGAATCGCGCAGTGAAGGAGGCCACGAAGATGGACAGCATCCCGAAATCCAGGAGGTTCCACAGGTGCAGTACGTACTCCCGAGGCCCTTCCTCCCAGATTTCCTTGCATTCGGACCAAATCATTCCTGTGGGAGAGTGAGAAGGCCAGGCTCTTTTTTTTTTTTCCAGTTCTTTTTGCATTTTGTGACCACATGAGGGCATGAAGGGTAGCGTGATACAAATGTAAATATAGGGTCTTTGAAGCTGAGATTTCTGATAGCCAGAGGCAAATGGAAACATTTTTCAAAGGCAGTTTCAACATCAAGAAATCTTCAAACTGTGAGCAGACACCTTACCTGTTCCTCTGCTTCCAGAGAAACCATATCTGGAAGTGAGGAGAGAGTTCACATTCATTGATAGATTTTTTGAGGCAATATAAGATAAATACAATGGCTGACTTTTATACACTGTAAGAACTGGAAGGTCTTAAGTAATCATGTAGATCTAAATTAAATAGAGGGAAAATGTGGTCCAGGAGAGGGTAACGGCTTTCTGAAGGTCCCATATATGACCGAGAGCTCATTTCTTCTAATACTTCTCCCCCGCTTTAGATTGCTTTCTCTTACGTTTCTATGCTTGTTTCAATGAGCATTTTTTTTTTTCAGGATATGAGATTTTTCCTATTCTTATATAAGATTTTATTGGATTTTTAAAACACATGTGCTCAATGTTACATAATAAACAATGTTCTTTCTCTCTGTTGCCATCAAGTCAATTCTGACTAATGTAACCCTGTATGTTACAGAGTACAGCTGCTCCATAGAGTTTTTTTGACTATAAATTTTTATGGAAGAAGATCATCAGCCCTTTATTTTGTGGCACTACTGTGTGAATTCAAATGGCCAACCTTTTTGTTGATAGCTAAGTGCAAACTGTTTGTGCCATCCAATGACCTGTTAAATAATATTGTTGTTGTTACATGCCATGGAGTTGTACCCGACTCATAGTGACCCCTCCTTGGGTTTCCAAGGCAATATCACTATGGAAGTAGATTGCTCAACCTTCCTTGCTAGGAGTGGCTGGTGGGTTTGAACTGTCAGCCTTTTGGTTAGTAGTCAAGTGCCTTAGGCACTATATAAACAAAATTGTCACTAATTTCCCCATTCCACCTTTAAGTCAGTCCTGTGAAGTAGCCTAAGCTATTAGTTTGGTGTGTATCCATTTATACATGCATTATCCAATATGGTAGCCACTAGTCATATGTGGACACTGAGAACTTGGAATGTGCTTAGTCTGAATTAAGAGATGGTATAAATGTGAAGTATCCATAAGATTTTGTGGACTATTAGTATGTAATAGAATGTAAAATACCTTATTAATATTTTTACATCAGTTATATGTTGAAATTATTATATTTGGATTTATTGGATTACATGAAATATAGTATTAAAATTAATTTCACCTGTTTTTCTAGATAATTTAAAGTTACTTATGTGGTGTATAGTTATGGTTTGCAATGTATTTCTGTTGTATAGTGCTATTCTATAGTATATTTTCCTTGATTATTAAAACTAAACTATTTTAGATTAAATTTAACTATTCAGTAGCAACAGGAACTCTGGTAGACTAGTGCCTAGGGCAGTTGACTGCTAATCAGAAGTCTGGTGGTTCAAACCCACTAGCCACTCCTCAAACGGAAGGTTGGGCAATCTACTTCCATAGTGATACTGCCTCAGAAACGCAAGGAGGGGTTGCTATAAGTCAGGGCTGACTCGACGACACATGGCATGAGAAAATCTGCTTCTGAAAAGATTATAGCTTTGGAAACCCTATAGGGCAGTTCTATGATATCCTATAAGGACTCTTATCAGTAAGAATTTACTCAATGGCAATGGGTAATGGATTTGTGCTAGGCACTGTTTTGACTGTTTTATATGTATGTCAACTCTCTTAAATCTTAGCAACAACTATGATGTACATTGTTATTATTCAGGCTTTATAGCTAATGAAACAGAGGTACAGAAGACTGTAATGTGCCCAGCTAGGAAGCTTCTACTCTGATATATATGGGAGCTCCATGAGTCAGAGTTGATTCCATGGCAATTTGTTTTTTTGTTTTTAATGTGTAGAACCACCCGTTGTTTGTCAGTTTGTCATACTGTGGTGGCTTGCATGTTGCTGTGTTACTGAAACTGTGCCACCAGTATTTCAAATACTACCATTCCCTCATGGTGGACTAAGACAGACTAGGAAGGGGGTCCTGGTGATCTACTTCCAAATGACTTGACCAGTGAAAGCCCTGTGAATAGTAGTGGACCCTTATTTGCTGATGTGGTGTGACTCAAAATGAGAAGAAACAGTTGCAAACATCCATTAATAATTGTAACTAGGAATATATGAATCTAGGAAAATTAGAAGTTGTCAAAAATGAAATGGAATGCATAAAGATCAATATCCCAGGCATTAGTGAGCTGAAGTGGGCTGGTCTTAGTAATTTGGAATTGGACATTCATATAGTCTACTATGCTGGGAATGACAAATTGAAGTGGAATGGTTATTGCATTCGTCATCAAAAAGAACATTTCAAGATATACCCTGAAGTATAAAGCAGTCAGTGAGAGAATAATATCCATATGCCTCCATGGAAGACTAGTTAATAAGACTGCTGTTCAAATTTATGCACCAACCACTGATGCCAAAGATGAAGAAACTGAAGATTTGTACCAACTTGCAGATTTTTTTTTTTTTGCAGTTTGAAATTGACCAACCATGCAATCACGATTCATTGATAATTACTAGTGATGGAATGCAAAAGTTGGAAATAAAGGAAAAGATTCTAGAGATTGCATGATCAAATTTTGCAAGACCAGTGACTTATTCATTGCAAATACTTTTTCTCAACAACACAAATGGTGACTGTACATGTGGACTTTGCCAGATGGAATACACAAGAATCAAAAACTACATCTGTGAAACCACACAATGGAGAACCTCAACCATCAGTTAGAACAAGGTGAGGGGTCAGCTGGGAACAGACCATCCAATACATATATAAAAGTTCAAACTGAAGCTGAAGAAAATTAAAACAAGTCCATAAGAGCCAAAGTGTGACCTTGATTAAACCCCCTTTAATTTAGAGATGATCTCAAAAATAGATTTGACATGTTGAACACTAATGACCAAAGACCAAGGAGTTGTGGGATGACATCAAGGACATTATACATCAAAAAAGCAAAAGGTCATTAAAAAGGCAGGAAAGAAAGAAAAGATCAAACTGGATGTCAGAAGAGACTCTGGCACTTGCTCTTGAATGTAAGGTAGCTAAAGTGAGTGGAAGAATTCTGAGATAAAATACCTGAACAAAAGATTTCAAAGGGCAGCTTGAGAAGACAAAGTAAAGTATTAAAATCAAATGTGCAGAGACCTGGAGTTAGTTGCCAAAAGGCAAGAACAGTTGGCATTTGTCAATCTGAAAGAACTGAGGAAAAAATTCAAGCCTTTAGTTGCAATATTGAAAGATTCTGTGGGCAAAATATTGAACAACAGAGGACGCATCAAAAGAAAATGGAAAGAATACACACTATACCAAAAAGAATTGGTCAATGTTCAACCATCTCAGAAGGCAGCATATGATCAAGAACCAATGGTACTAAAGAAGTCCAAGCTGCACTGAAGGCACTGGCAAAAAACAAGGCTCAAAGAATTGACAGCATACCAACTGAGATGTTTCAACAGATGGATGCAATGCTGGAAGCACTCACTTGTCTTTACCAAGAATTTGGAAAATAGGTACCTGGCCAACTGACTGGAAGAGATCACTATTTTACCCATTGCAAAGAAAGGGTGATCCAACAAATTATGGAAATTATCGTACAATATCATTAATATCACATGCAAGTAACATTTTGCTGAAGATAATTCAAAAATTATATTGACAGGGAACTTCCAGAACTTTAAGCTGGATTTGGATGAGGATGTGGAACAAGAGATACCATTGCTGATGTCAGATGGATCTTGGCTGCAAACAAAGAATACCAGAAAGATGTTTACCTGTGTTTTATTGTCTATGCAAAGGCATTTGATAGTGTGGATCATAACAAATTATGAATAACATTTCAAAGAATGGGGATTCCAGAACATTTAATTGTGCTCAGGAGGAACCTGTATATAGACCAAGAGGCAACTGTTTGAACAGACAAGTGGATATGACATGGTTTAAAATCAGGAAAGCTTTATGTCAGAGTTGTATTGTTTTACCATACATTTTCAATCTGTATGTTGAATCTGAAAAGCTAGACTATATGAAGAAGAATGCAGCATGAGGACTGGAAGAAGACTCATTAACAACTTGAGATATGCAAGTGACAAAACCTTGCTTGCTGAAAGTAAAGCTTGATGCACTTACTGATGAAGATTAAAGATTATAGTTTGCAGTATGGATTACACCTCACCATAAAGAAAACAAAAATCCTCACAACTGGTCTGAAAAGCAATATCACAATACATGGAGAAAAGATTGAAGTTGTTGGATTTCATTTTACCTGAATCCACAATCAACACCCATGAAAACAGCAATCAAGAGATTAGACATCATATTTCACTGGGCAAATCTGCTGCAAAAGACCTCTTTAGGTGTTAAAGGATAAAGATGTCACTTTGAAGACTAAGGTGCACCTGAACCAAGCCATGGTATTTTCAGTCACCTCATATGCATGCAAAAGCTGGACAGTGAATAAGGAAGACCAAACATAAATTGATGTATTTGAAGCACGATGTTGGTGAAGAATATAGAATATACCATGAAACAAAAATCTGTCTTGGAAGAGTTATAGCCAGAATGCTCTTTAGAAGCTAGGATGTGGAGAATCAATCTACTTCCGTAGTGATACTGCCTCAGAAACACAAGGAGGGGTCTCTATGAGTCAGGTCTGTCTCAATGGCACATAACAGCAACAACAACAACTTTAGACATGTTATCAGGAGGGACTAGTCCATGGACAAGGGCATCATGTTTGGGAAAGAAGAGGGAAAAAGAGGGAGACCATTAATGAGATGTGTTGACACAGTGGCTGCAATAATTGTGAGGATGGTTCTGGACTAGGTGGTGTTTTGTTTGTTGTACATAGGGTTGCTATTAGTAGCAACC